GGCTGCCTACTGCATTCATTGGGTGCAATGGATCCCGACCAGAGCCGAGTGCCACAGCCCAGATCCACGCAGAAGCCGGGCACTCTCACGCTGGAGACTTCTGCCGACCTCTTCTAGCTTCAGAACCCACCAAGGATGAAATGGCAAAAAATCTGAGCTCAGGCTGGCACCACAGCCGGCAGAGTCCGCGTGCACCACCTAGCAGGCTTCAAGGAAGAGACACCTGTTGGGTGGGCGCCCCCTCCCGGACCAGCTCACACCTGACCCCTACGGGTCTCCGAGCGCCCCCCATTGTCAGTCCTTCAAGTCCAATGGACTGGACCTGTGGCCGCTCTGGCCACCTACCCCCTCACGTGAGGAAGGGGTGCAGGGATAGGCATAGGCGGGAAAGTTTAGGGGCGGGGTTCCAAGGGCTTTCCGCTAACCACTTACAGCCCGAGGGACCAGCGAGTCACCTCCTGAACCTCAGGTTACCTTAGCCACTTGTGAAGCCTATGCGCCCCACCTCACGGGCTGGCCCACGTCCCTTCAAGAAGTGACAGTGAGACTCTAGCAAAGTCAGAGACAACTCTTCTGTCGGGAGCCTTCCCCAAATTCAAAGACGCATTCAACTTAACAAAAGGAAAGAAAACTCTTTTGGGGTCAGGGTGGCTGGGATTTTTTTTTAAGCAAATCACTCACTGACGCGTTCCAGACGTTAATAGGCACGAAGTTCCTAACACATAGCCTGGAATCTTCTCTCGGTACTTGGGACAGAAGCCGCGTCATCTAGGGGCCTCCTGGGAACAGCTCCAAACCAAAAAACGCTCCGGTTCCGGGTCGATGCTTGGCAGCACAGGCGCCAGGAGCAGGCAACCAGACACGAGGCCACGCAGGCAGCCTCGGCCTTGAGGCTAGGCGGACAGAGGACTGTAGAAGTGAGACTGTCCAGCAGCTCTGCAGGTGTCTCCACACTACCCTCCAGTTCCCTGCAGCTTCTGCAAGGGACACGGAATGGAACCTGGGCCGGTGTCTTCAAGGTGACGAGGGGTGTCTGATCCGTACGTCCCTTAGGTGGATGGACCAGCCTGACAGTGGAAGGCCTTTGCAGAGACCAGTGCGAGGAGAGCAAGAGCGTCGACGGTGGTTGAATGGGGCCCGGGGAGTGAGAAAGGTGGCTGGGCCGAGGCTGGAATCGGCGGCAGCGGAGTGCGCGGACGTGGCTGAGAGGACATACCAGTGGGAGGGGGTGAGAGCTACGCCCAGTTTGGCCAGGCCTGGCTTCACCGCGGCGGGCCGCGGGCTGGGGCGGGAGCTGC